AGTCCTGAACGTAAAAAAGTCCATTAAAATAAAAGAAAGATAAAATAATTGGGTGGTGCAGTAACTTGACTATTTAATTCTCTGAGAAAATTGTGCTTACAATATATAGTACACGTAAGAAGCATGACAACATTCACAATCTAGAAATTATACAGTGAATATATGTCATTGAGAAGGAAATGATAATTCACTAGGAGATTTCAACAGAAATAGAATGATAGATATTTTTAAGGAAACTTAATGAAACAGCTTGGCATTAAGACCCAAAATTGGCATTCAGTGGAATGATGAAGACGCATAAAACCGAGAACTAAATCAAAACATGCATGGGGTTTGGGAACACTGCTTTGCCATAGGTATGATTGTATGAGTGTCAGCCTCAGAAAAGAAATACCAAAGTAGTAACGGGAACTGAGGCTTAAGATTTCTCAGTACGTCCATTTTAGTTACAAAAGATTTTTATGCTTCATTTCAGACATTATTTAAACATTGTTACTTCTGCAAACATGCCACACTGAGATAAGGTTTCATACTGTACCACATCAAAACGCAGACTGGCGCAGAACGTCTGAAAGTGCCTTTATTGAGGTAACTGTTTATCAAGCCGTAGAGGAACTGAAATTGCAAATTCTTAAAGAAAGGGCGGTAGAGGGAAAAGAAGGAGAGAGATGCAATGTTCTCCTTAATCATGTGATCTGCACAACATCAGTACAGTTATGATCTAAATAAAGTTTCTAGAGTCATCAGATATTATACTGTAGATGCTTCATTTAATCTAATGGTTTCCACTTAGGTAATTTTCATGCATTTTAATCTATTTAATGATCACCTTCCCTTGGCTGATTTACTCTCTCTGAAACTATATTGTACTTCATCTGCAAGATTTGGGATTCCAGACAACGATACAGAGCGAAAGAGCAAGAAACTTTGGTAAAGGCGCTATTTTGCATTTTTAACCTCAGTTAATCATGCTATTTTACTAATGCAGAAAAGCCTGCATATAATTTCAACCTGTGGAAAAATAGTGCTCGAGAGATTTACAGAGAATGAACTTGACCTAGATTTCGGGTTATTTCACTCTGACAAGAATTGACAAAAATTTCAGGCTCTGACAGCACATGAAAACAAGCAGGAACTAGAATTCTACATTCAATATTTGTCAAAACGGAACCCTTGGTAAGCAGAAAGCCCGTCTCCAACGCAGACCGGGAGGAAAGCCATTTTCCGGATGTGCTCTGGTTTAGGTGGAGAGAGGAGCGTGTGCCAGGTCTGGTAAGCAGTCGCCCACCAATTAGCAGCCCACTGTCAGCGCCCATCTTCCTCATCAGAGGATGAGGATGATCATCAGAGATGAGACTCAATCAGAGATGAGAGAACATCTTCCTCAACAGAGACCCTCCTTCCTCCGCCAGCACCATGTGATTCAGGCTTGTCCTGACCCAGCTGAGCAGCAACCTTTGACCACAAAGCACCAACCAGCCCTCAAACTGTTTTGTCACCGTAACACATGAAAGAGTTGGCTGAATACACCCAGGGAGTGAAGATCGTTGCACCAGACATTTTAAAACTAATTAGAATGCAGAACTGCTACGGCTGCATGTGCAAATGAGGCAATTACGAATGCCAACGACTGATTACGTTCACCTGCTCGTGCAGCTACCCAGTTCTTGTTGGACAGCTGAAATAATTGCGTGTGCAAATTAGACAAACAGCTGGATGCAGACTTTACACTAGCAATTATGTACTGAAAGTTAGGTGGGGATTCGAGGGGTTTTTGCTTTATGGTTTTGTTTTTGTATTTTAAAAATACAACCCTGGATGTGAACACCATGTACTTCCGCAGTAGTGCAGTAATCTGAAGGACCCAAGGAAAGAGTAGATTCACATTTTGTACACACACAGTGCGCTTTAGAAAAGGGAACATTTCGCTGAAATTATGAATGGGAAATAGCACGGAAACAACACCTAATTTAGAATGTCTAGATAGATTTAGCTATTAGCAGATAATGAGATTGTGAAATTCACACTATAAAAATGTGCGATAACGAGACTAGAAACTAAAAATGTCTTAGGTAGGTTTTACAGTCCAAATAACACTATGGTAGGACTGTAGATCTGAATGATACACGGCTAAGATACCTGTAGCATAAAGGTTCAAACATGCTTAGGTGGGCGATTTAGAAGACCGAGCGTAGCAGAGAAAATCTTGTCTGTCATGAGAATAACGTACAGCCAAAAGGTTTTTTTGTTTTAACTAAATGTGGGGTGTGTTTTCAGAGAGGCAAAGAGGACACTGGACTGAGCAATAAGCTTTGTGTTTGAAGAGAGAGTCTTCCTAGATGCTTGTACAGACACATTGCAGAAACTTTCTGCAAATGCTTCGTCTTTATTCTTAACCCTTTAGGGTCTATAGTTCTCAAATGCTAATCTTTGGTTATTTGAAGTCCAGATAATAACTGAAGTCCATAAATATTTACAGTACTCTGTAGCACCAAAAACACTTCAAGGCACATACAACATTAGTGGCGAGCCTTGGATTACAACTGGAAGTGGCTACATCAATCTGGATCATTTCTAGGTTATCACTGATAAAATAGATCCCTTACTAAAACAACAAAAACGTTTCCTTTTCCTTTTAGTTCCTGCCCGTACCCAGACTGTGACAGCAGCAGTAGCTATAACACACTAACATTTTACTCTCACACATTTCAGAGAAGGAACTTTAAAAATAAATAAATGGAAAAAGTGTTAGATCTTTTTCCTTAGGTCAAACATTAGTCATCAGCACATGGATGACAATATAAGCCAGAAGCTCTTACCATCTCCTCCAGCATCCTCCCAGCAGGGAAGTCAACAAAACAAAACATCCCACATTGTACACCCCACCAGTGCCTAAATTTAGAGCGAGCGAGCGAGCGAGCAGCAGCCTGCCGAGGCTATTTCCAATTAACCTTGCAAATAGTAAATTTTTTAACCCCACTCTCAAGTGTTAAATAATGGAGACTGGACACTATCCCTCTCATACCCTGCATCCTACCAAGTAGTAAGGGTTAAAGGAAATAAAAAGGCAAAGGAAAACCTTCAAAGCCACACAAAAAATCCAAAATGGGCCCCCTTATAAAACTCTCCAAAAGACGAGGGAATCCACAGCTTATTTAGTTAGGAGAGGAATCCACGCAGAGTGTCTCTCCCATGCGTTCGCCTCACTCCTGCACCCATTTCTTTTGTGCTACTGCCCAAACTGCCCCCCGAGCTGTATATACAGGGAGAAGAGAAGTGCATGCTTGGCCGCTGGTCGTCTTTTGTTCCCACTAATACCATCACTCGCTTCTACTCACACACAGTGACAGGAAGATTGTTCTCCGTCAAGGGCAAGAAGAACAAAATCCACAATTCAAAATGAATTTATCACTGGTTCAATTCATTATGTTCAGACATTCATCTCTTCTAAATGGACGTAATAATGTGATTAGTACAAATGATGCCAGGCTAGTTATAGGACATTTAGGACTACAGGACAGTATTTATTTCACCCAGTGCAATGTATCTCTGTGTTTTTATTATCCACATACAGGGCTGTTTTAGTTGCAAAGATATCTCAAAAATGTGCTCTACAGTCTTCCCCTCCTTCACAAAAGACTACAACTTTTTAAAAAGGATTACAACTTTTTAAAAAACCTTTTATTTTTTGTTAACTTTTTACTTTTGTTGACCTGTGACAGCACATTTTTCTGTAGAGGGATATGTTTTAATGTGAAACGAGATGTACTCTCATGGAGTGAACCATGTTTTTAGCGTTTTTCTTTGCTCAGTTTTTGGAAGAGCTGAAGAACTATTTGATCTCTGCGCTTCTCTGAGTTTTATGGCATATATTTTTCAAACACTGCAAAACAGATGCAGCTAGGAAACGTCATATTTAAGATAAATTATTTTCAAAGATAGCAATTCATAGGCTTGCAGTGATAACTCCTAATCCTGAGTGACTGTTCTGGCATAATAACATAAACATACAGTCGTGGCTTTCCAAGATCAGTTCTGAATCTTAATCATACCTGTTTCCTTATTATAACTGCTGGACACACACGCTTCTCCTTCACAGCTTGTATACCCCAAAATCTGTACTGGTAACAATGAAGTGTAAGAACTTGAACAGCAAGTGGTGGCACTCCGGTAGAATAAACAGATGTTGTCAGGATTCAGATGGGGGAGTTACCCAAGCTATACGAGAATAAAACTGAATGCTTAGTTTAGGTCACCAAAAATACATACAGAGGGCTATTTAGTACACCAGTCCTTAAAAAATTCAGATTCCATCTGAAAATGGAAAAAGATATTGTCCTAACAGAAAAAAAAAAAAAATTCTTCCCATTTAAAACACTAATAGAGCAGATGCACTTGAGCTTTTCACTTTTCTGACAAATGGACTAATCTTCAGAGCTTCAAGTTTCTCAAACCAAAAATTCTTTCAGAATGGTGAAGCGTTTTAATTTTACTCTTAAATTCACTGATAAACACCAGAAAAGCAAGTCAAAGAAATGTATGTGCGAGATTGCCTGCATGTATCCCAGAGAAATAAAGAACTGTTAGCAGTCTCTGCTGTACAATAAAATAATAATAATAATAATAAAACCTCTAATCTGAAACTGAATCTCATTTAGCTTAATCTAAAATTTAATGGCAAGAGTTCGGTCATGTTTTGGAGCATGTTTTGAGTTTGATACAAATTAATTTAAAAGACAGCATGATTAGGATAGCTCCTTTGTCTGAAACTATTTTCAATAAGGAGAACAGAGGGACTATGTTCTATTCCTTACTCTTAGAAAATGTTAACAGGTAGGTTAGATGATTTAACAAATATTGTTTTAATGAGGCATCACTTTAGTACTTGCTGCAGCTAAGGTCATATATGTTCTGTGTGTCTACTGCTCAGATTTCTTACCCAATAAGCTTCCTTATCTTTAATGAAGCAGCTACATGAAACTGTCATTTTTTTCTTTCAGAACTGTTCTCGACCGTGGAAGACCTAAAGTACCTAATGATGTCTACTTAGCATTTTTGGAAGCAAAGAAAAACTTGGGAGACTATGGGACAAATTACATCCTCAAGTGCGCTAAAGTAAACCAGGATAAAACCTAACAGAGATGCTGAGCTGTAGCAATTTAACCAGATAGAGAAATGTCGTCACCCTATTGAATTTAGAAATGACCCACCTTCATCTCACTCAGAGGTGAACTAAAGCAACATCAGGAGCAGGAAGAACTCATCCCTGTAGGATTTAACAACCCAGATAGCTCACAACACCCATGCTCTGCAGCTACACATGAGGGATCTTACACGGGCAGCCGACCAGGGCTGGCCCTCTACTAAACAAGGATGATGAGACTTGGACTCCAGCAAACTCGGATGGAAAGTAGTGGTCTCAGAAAAAGTATCTTCTTGACCTCAGCAGTTTGGATCAGGTCCAGGTAAGGCAAAGAACAGAAGAACGGCAGAGCGGATGGCACAATACATTCAGCACAAATTACTCCAGAACCTACTGTTAAAGACTGGCTAGTTCTAACTGCTGTGTGAAAATAAGAATCTTTACTGTCTTTCCACATTCCCAGTACTGAACAGGCTGAGTACAGCCTCAGAAACTCTAAGAAAGTCCTCGCTACTGTAGGATTTTCATGTTTTACAGTAACAAAAGTTATTTAGCAGGATCTAAAGTTGATCCTTTTCAGGATGACATATAGGTATAGAAAGTCCTAACCATGCAATTATATGCTAGATTTGATCTTTTATAATTTTTCTCTCTCAAACATTGTTTTTAAAAGATTTTTGCACATTGAATATTTTCAATATTCAGTGACCTTCCAGGCATTCTATTAAATATCCTTCTCAAAAACGTTCCAAAACTCTCTTCATCATATCAATCCAAACTCAAAAGCACCCTTCCCATATCCTAGATGGGTAATTAAAAGCGTTCTATTAAGCTTCATTTTTTAGAAACAAATACTCCACCTAACACTAATTTTCCCACATCTTCCCCAGGAATTGACTCTATGACAAGCAGGAATTTCCTTTTGCTGAAGACCATTTGTCAAAATATAATGATACTTGGCAAAATAGGTAATAAATTGAAGAAGTAAACCAAAAAATCTATCACCTAAGCTGAAGAAGGAGAAAAAGGAGCACAAATCACTTCAATACAACTAAAATAGTACTTTAGGTGAAGGGGCTGAACCACCTCCTTTCCTCAGACGTGGGGTTCTTTCTTACCCATTATCAACATCATGCCATTAACATACTGAGCCCTTTAAGAGTATACAGAGAATACATAAATATAAATAAGCATCTTCAGGTACTCACAGAACCTGGCAATGGCACATTTCTGCCACATTATTATGAATTCACATGGCTTTAGGCCCTCTTGCCCAAAGCCACGCTGTTGTACAGCACTACCGTACAGATGCAGCTTTGAGAGGGCTCTTTAACCTCACTTCCTTGGGAAGTGAAGGCACAGGGTACCATACTTCACTGCTAACCTGTTTTGAAAACCCAGACTGGTTTTGCCCTTGCTTCATCCCATTCCTGTCTCATGCCCCTCTGAAGATCCAGTTTAATTTTGAGTCTACCTTGACTTTACGCTTATTGATTCATTTCTTCATATTGATTTCACTTTTTTTTCCCCATCCCTTCATATGCAGCAAAGAGGAGCGTATCAGCATGAATTCCTGAGCCTATATATAATGCATAGGCTATAAATAGACATGCATATAGACATGTTGGAAAGCAGCCTATCCCCTTAACAAGCGTAACTGCTGAGCGTTTGGAATAAACATGACATAGGCCTGAGCGGTCTCAGAGCTCTACAATTAAACAGTTCTTACCAGGATGAAACATATACGCTCAATATACATCTGGCCTAAATAACCCTTTCGCTGTTGAAAGGCTGCTCATGTTGGAACATCAGCACAGCTATCTCCAGGCAACACGGCTTGTGTGCAAAGCCTGAAGTGGTTGGCTTTACGTTCATGGGAAGCCAATTAACGTATAGCTACAAATAGATCAGCCACAGATTTCTTTACCCGGTTGCCTATATCGCATTGCATTGTACTGGAAATTTAGCTTGCGGCAATGGTGCTCTTGTGCCAAATAACACATTCTTGTAGGACACCGATTAAAGATCTGTACTCACTACAGCCTGCACGGTCTTGCTTCTCACAATAATCCTTGATCCATGGAAGTCCTGAAACAATGGCTCTGCAACTGTACAAGCTTAAGCAACATCCTGGACCCTGACTTGATAACCTTGATGTTGCTGTGTCTGACAGGAGGAGCAGCATGGAAATCATTACTATAAATGCTGGAGCACAAGTGGGCTCACTGATTACAACACTGCATTCCTCCTGGTTCTGCTCTTCGTTAGTAAGGCACCAATTACAAAATGAATAAATTCATTATAATAACGTCTTAAGCAACTAAAAAGTCTCTCTTGCTTTTGGGTCATTCAAGTTGCAACAGCTGATTTGGAGACATGTTAACATACAGGCTCCAAGCTTCCATAGACCAGGAGAATTGAAACAGCTCTCAGCTAATTAGCCAGTCAAACTACTTTTCTGCAAGGTGACCTAATAACACAATCTGCCAAGGCAGCAATGCATGCCAGCCCAATATTTGGCCCATAATCTGAAGTTGGTAAGACCAGTGCCAGGTATCATTGAACTTCCTATGTTGCTCTTCTCACACTTCCCTTCTTCTTTGTCTAACCTAACATGCCAACAGACATGGAAAGCGTTTAAACAGTGTCACAGAACAAAATTTCTAGCTAACAGTTAATTAAAAATTATAGTTTATCATCGCTTATCATCAGGGTGCACAGTGTCTTTAAATACTATGATTAACGTGCTGGATGAACTAATCTCAGCTTTTTAGTGTAAATGTGCATCTATACAGCATGCGTGTCTCAAAGATAAAAGCTCTGTACAACACAAAGTTACATCACCTGAATGAGCATAAGCAATACCCCAAGCTGAAAAATGTGTAATGGTGTTCCCAGGCACGGGTTAGAATAATGACAAGGATGGAAGGCACTCCCCCCCCCCCCCCCCCCCCACCACACCACCATCCGTTGGGGCGGTTGTGGGTGGGTTTGTTTTTATCTTTCTAAACACGTGATTCCTTTTAAATCAGACGTCTAATTTACAGTATTGAAAGCTGCCTTCATGAACTGAGAAGAATAACTAAACAGATTGATGAAGATTACCAGAAATAGTCAATGTAATCCCAAGAGCCTACTAGACATCCAATAATTTGTGGTGCTGCAAGAAGCGCCCATTAACATAACAAAGTACACGTACACATTGATCATCTCTAACTTTCAGAGACGTGTCCTCCTTGAACTGGAGTTCAGAGCACTCTGAACTCCGCATGTTCTTTGCAGAACGTTACCCAGGTCTATTTCTAAGAGATACCAAACCAGTTCCTGAGGATAAAGAAACAGCATATTCAGATTGTCAGTCTCAACAAAATATTCAAAATTATCACTGTCAGATACGCAGAATCAGCAATAACATAAAGGACAAACCCTATGTTATTCCACACTGTTTCCTTGCTCTCCTAACATTTATGTCTACATTTTCCTTCTGAAGGAGATACCAGAATTCTCATCTAAAGAAACAGTGGATTTATGCTGCAGTAATATCACTCTTGGTATACACCTCCCAAATACATTTTAATGACTTAGTGGGATTTCTAAGAACTATATTGAATTCCCCATGAAAAAGCCGTATTTATGAATCTGTTTTCAATACAGAATATAAAGGGATTTGTCAAGAGAGAGTTGCAATTTCAGTGGTGCAGAAAAACTGCAGCACTATTTGCTGAGCTAGTTCTGTGACCACGTTACAGACAGAGCTATGATTTTTCCACTGCATTGGCTATGACAGTCTCAAACTTTCCTTTCTTGGCTCCCCCTCGGCACACATACTGTGGCTTTTTTTTCCCCCTTTGTCTTACTGCTGCTGTTACTGTTTTCATCTGAAAAAAAGTGAGAACTAGACACATGAGCTTTGTAACCTATTTAAGAAATCTTAAAGCTGCCCTATCAGGACGTAAGTGCTAAAGGGTTTTCTGAAAGTCTACGTGAAGTATAGAGCCAGATTAGACCATCTGATAGAGATTTAGATCACAGTACACAGCTAGCATCTGTGTTTCAATCTGCACAACACTAATGGAAAAAATTCAACGTATTTCATTGTAGAATCCCCTGAACAAACCAGAAGATCCAGCTAAATAAAGATTTAAATCCACTCAGTGCATTCACAGCATACTGATGTCATGTACATGTGAGAGGCAGGAAAAAATAATGTACTGAACTCTTAAAATCGAGGAGTCTATTAATTCATCTTTGTAATAAATCCAGTCTCTGGTTCTCTGCACCCATATGTTAACCAATATTTTGGGTACTACTGACAGGTCTTGAAACAAATCTACTATCCACAAACAAGTAAAACTGATTAGTGTTTGCAGCAGCACAAACAGTGCAGCCTTTCCTCATTAGCTGCGTGGAGCGATGTTCCTTAGAGCCTGTCTGCAACTGCCTGGCACGGCTGAACCTCGCCTCTGCACGCACACACACGGACGAGCGGACGGACAGACGGACAGACAGACGCGCACCACCACTCTGCCAGCCTTCTGATGCAGGCACAGTCTGGCTTCATTTCCTTTACCACCAAATATACCTTGACACACAAAACACCTTGACTCAAGTCTGAATTATTTAATAAATCATGGTATGCTGCTGTGTGAAAAACATGCCCAAGCCCTACTCAGCATTGCTCCGACAAAAGCATTACTGCTGATTTCGGTTCCTGTTGGTTAACTCAACGGTGAATCCCTTTGTACGTTAACCACTCATGGCTGGTCTCATCTTCTGAAAAGTGCTAAAACTCTGGTCTCATATTGCGTGCTGCAGGGCGGTGGAGAAATAACTAAGCAAACTCTAAAAAAGCTATTTATTTCAGGCACCAGTAGTAGTCCATCTAAGGTGGTAAGACCAACAGTTTGATTTCTCTGCAGGGAAGCTAATTCGACTGTCTCCACATTCTAGCCTGAGAGAACTAGGATGAAAGAGGTTAAAAAACAATAAATAAGAAAAAACAAACAGGGAAGAGCCCAAAATTAATTTGTCAGTGTAGGACAGAGAGGAGGCACACTGCAGAAATTCAGAGAAGAGAAGCAGAGACTGCAACAGAGACGGTAAAGGAGGTAGGATAATACTGAAGGTAATAACAGATTGTGGAATAAAGACAAATGTCTTGAGGGCTTGAGACAGTAAAGTAATTCTTGAAGACATTTTATGACGCTACAAAACTTAACATAAGGAAAAATACAGAAGCTATAAAAGCAAGAGAAATTGTAACAGAGAGGATAAAGATGAGACAACATAAAGATCAAAGAACATGATGCTTCAAGCAATAGGCAGTAATGTCAAAGCTTTTTCCAAGCTCTGAATAAGCAAGAAAAAAGTTAAAGCTTGCCTCTGAACTGACCCATGCTCCTCTGAGCAGTACAAACTATTTTACTCGGGATGAGTTTACAGCCAGAGCAGACTGGATTGCAAGCTAAAAACCTCTTGTGTTTTCCTACAGTTTTCAGGTATGAGCAGCTGAAGGCAGCTCCAAAGCCTCCTGAAATCGTGACTACAGCGGGATATAGCAGTACGGCCCAAAAGGAGTGGCTCTCTTGAGCAAATCAGTTGGTGCTGAGTATCCAACTTGGCCCCGCGGAACTGGATCACTCCACTAGGTGAAGCAAAGCATTGCAATGGGGATGCTCAGATTACGGCTTCAAAATCACAATTCTGCTGTGAGCTGAAACGCTGATGTATGCACATCCTGCAAGGTTTGCATTTATGGCCTTAAAGACCACTGAAGAAGCGAAAAAGTCCATTTTATCCAGCTAAGTGTGCTGCACCCTACATGTACTGTTCTATTTAGTAAGGTACAAAGACATATGCAGTTACAAATGCAACATTTTCGCTGATTACATTCATTCATACTGTACAACGGAGTTTGTTTAGAATGAGCAAAACTCAAGAACAGTCAGGATTCAGGCAGTGGCAGCTTTAAATCTACTCATTCAACCAAATGAAGTGTTTTCCCTTAAAGACTTTTGTGTGACACCATCACTCAGAAAAGAGACCTTCTGACCACTCCTCCAAAAGGTTATCAGGATCTTGAAATTGCCCTTAGCTTTACGGAAGGGAATACCTTCGCGCAGAAAGAAACAGAGCCAGATGCAGTGCCCTGGCATTAAGATAAAATCAGTTGGTACCGTAACTGTCTCAGACAGTTTGTGCTTCTGAGAGAATATTTTATTGAATCGCATTCCATCCCACTGTACAAACACTGCAGCAGTTACAAAAAAAAAGGTTAAAGTGGTGAATTAGTATATGCCCAGTAGTTCTTGAACAGTGAGGAGGATGTCTTATTATACACTTCGCTGAACTTCTGTAATAAAATCCCAGTAACTATATGTTGCCGTACATAAGTCAACAACAATATCCGGTAATGATCTGGCAACTGTCCAGCTCCTTTAATAGTAGTTTTATATTGCAGAATGAATGCAGACACATTGCATGCAACTATGTCACGGCTGTTACTATAGGCAATACATACACCAGAACAAAAGGATCTTGATCAAGAATAATTCAACATTTTCTGATTTATTTTGAATTTCACATATTCATCAGAAAACCATCACTAGGCAACGCACCAGAGAACAATGCGTTTTCTACAGAATTTTAAGTGAGCCTGTTTTAAACAAGCCTTCCTGGAAAGGACCTTCTAAGGGACTGGGGACTCATTAGTGTCTCAGACCTTCTTCCCTTCTCTTCTTTCACATAGCAAACATGTCTTTGCTTAAAGATTTGTCAACTATCTACAAGATTACGCTCCTACAAGAATACATTCTACAGCACTTAAAATTATACTGCACTCCAAAAAAAAAGAGGGGGGGGGGAGGGCTTTTATCCCAAGCCAACACGTTACCTGCTGGGCTTCAAAGGAACCTTCTCATCTGTCTTCAAGATACACACGTTACCCGGCCATATTGGGGCACCTGGTTAGGCCGATGATTAATCACACCCGAGTCAGGCTCAATTTCCTTTAAAGAGTAAGTCAAAGACTTTATCAGTTTTAATAACATTGGCAGACACTTTGGACCAGCATAACGAAGCTGCCCTGTCTCTGGTACATGACCTGAATTTGAATGGCTTTCTCTGGAAGAAAGGAACTGAGGCTAAATGTTACACTTATCAGACCTGAAGTTTAAAATGTCTAAAGAACATTGAAATGGCCTTTTGTTTTGATATTGGAGATCTTGCATACCGGCACACCACGCACACAGGGACACACATATATGCACTGTGCCCAAACTGGATCATTATCCTCTGATAAACAGTACCGCTATTTCTCTGAATTTCAAACTGATACAGCGATGCTTTTTTGGGACATATACCAAGTGAACTGGTTGCATTCCCAAATGCTTGTTTTTCTATTGTGTGCCCATTTCCTCCTACACTGACTACTGCATAAACCTCCTCTCCCTCCTAGAGTCACAAGGCGGGACTAGAGTCTCACAAGAGTCTCCCTCTACTCTCAGTCACAATACCGGGCTACTAAATTTTAGATAATAAAAATATTGGGTTGAAAACTTTCAGATCATACATGACGTCTTGATGAACTGAAATACAAAGTGTTGTGTGTAAGGGCCTCTCTGGATCAGCAGTTATGCTGGTAGCTTTCCTCCCCATGCTTTAGTCAAAGTTCTGGACATTTTCCACGGGGAAGAAATCAAATGAAGACATATACAAAATACTCAATTAGACTACAGGAAAGCTATATGAAATCCATACTCTTTATGGAACACTGCATAGTTTTGCATATTAGAATTTGTTGTTATCATTCTACTTTGATCATTAGAAGAATAGCTACTGCTTTGTTATAATTTAATTTTTCCTCGCCTTATCTACTGAAGATATAAGAGATAGTTATTTGATTGCATACACAGAAGAACCTATGCCAAACTGTCACAGATAAAGATATCTTGTAAATTAAAAAGCAGGATAAACTACTGATCTGTACTGGGCAGACTTGTTAGCATGAATGAAAAAAGGCAAAACAATACTGAGTCTCAGCTACAGCTCTGAAAGTCTATTTTATAGAAAATTACTTGGAGGCTTGGCATATCCAACTAATATCTTTGCAACATTTTCATCTTTTGCTGCCGCAGAGAACTACATTTTTGTTAATATAAAAATTGTTGTTTATTAAAAAACCTTAGGACAAGTATGTTAGTGGTATCAGGGGGTGTCATTTCCAGTTCTGTAAAGGATTTCAGGGCTAATCTGATATGCTTTGTCTCCTCCTTCAGCATCTCTTCTCAGAGTATTTATAAAAACAGCAGGCTCAGAAATCAAAGCTGTGCAAGTTTCCACAGACAATGGAAGGTCCAAGGTTAGTTTTCTTTGTTCTCCCCATTGCCAAGCTATTCAGTGACTGTGCAGATTTTATAATCTACAACCTCAGCTTTCTGGAATGTCTTAAAAACCATGTTAATTAAACTGCTCCCAGCTGATCTTTTGTTTTCAAACTATATTTAGAAATACTTCTTCAAACTACAATAACTCAGAACGCTCAAAGTACACAGGTTTTGACTACAAATGTTTGCTTCTCAGCTTCTGGCCTTCTCTCTCATTAAGGAGCAGATTCTGAAATCTTTTTTCTTCAAACACTAAAATCAATCTTTTGTTGCAAAACTTTTCAGCAGCTCTTATGAAAGGTCAAACATTTTTTATTCAATTACTATCTATGGGTCCTGGCATAAGTACTTGATGAGAAACTGTCTTTTTTATCAGAAACAAAACTGCTCGCAGGATAATATAAAACTCACGGGGAAGAAGTCTATCAGAATCTGGCCTTCTTAGTAGAAGCAGTTGTACTACTGACGTGATGGAGGGCAATGCCATCGCAGTGGCACTGACTCATTTTAAATGTCACTGCTTTAAAATGCCAGGAGTTGAGAGCCTCTGGATAGGCTCTCCACTAGCGTAAATCAGCTTAGCTGGGTTGACTTCAGGAGAACTACAGTGATCTAAACCCACAAGAAAATCTGGGCCTTTGTGCTGAGTCTTCATTCTCACCGGGGGGGGGGCAGTAAGTTTTTTTGCAGACTCTCTCACCGATGATTATCTCCGAGCACAGCTCCGCTGCTGCTAGCCACGATGGCAACGGCAGCACAGAGCAGAGCCAGGACCTGCCTGCACCACGGTGAAAGCACCCCTCAAAGAAGGAAGGGTTTGATGGCATAGCAGCGAAATCCCTCTGGCTGGTACAGACTGCACCAATTGCTAACACCAGTGCATCTCCAGTCCCTACTAATAACAAGTAAACCCTGCTCGAGCAGACAAGACCAAAACGGGCCTTTAATCGGGAGCGTTGTCAGGCCTGTGTTACTGGAGGCTCCCATGGCACCCAGCTCTGCAGAAGATAACAGAATGAATTTTTGATGTGAACAGCACTGGAGAAGTGGAAGTAGCATTACAAACATTCCCTTTAACTGCTGGATCCTCCCAGCATCCCATATTGTAACTTTTATTCACAGTACAGCCAAACTACTTGAGTCTCGGACATTTTAACCCACAGCTGCTTTCAACTCCAGGCAATTTAAATAAGCCCAGTGGAAAAACTAGATTCGATTACAGATCAAAACGGCATCAGCTAATTGCAACGTGCAAACCAAGAACAATAAAAAAAGAAAACAAAATTAAAGCTGGCTCAGAAACTAACAATAGTATTTTGACTGAGAAAATACAGTAGTATTTTAACTACAAAGGCATTAAAGCCCTTTGGTTCAAAACTTCACTTATCCTATGGAATTCTATTTTCAGCTACTTTATCTGTACAAAGAGAAATCAAAGAGACTGCTATGATATTCCTATCAATTACGACTCATATTTAACTGCTCAGATAAAATTCCTTTATTCATCTTTGTGTAAATAACATTACTACTGTAAAGCACTTCCTACATAAAAAAGTAGGAAGGGATCTACTTCCCAAAAATCCCATCAGATAGTACTTCTCTTTTTAAAGGTAAAAGTGACTTGACTTTGTCCTAACATCCATTTTTCAGCACAATTCCAAAGTATTTTCCAGACTACGATCCTATATTCAGCAATGATCAAGCACGTTTGAAATGATATGAAGTTGGGGTTTTAAGTCCCTAATCCTCCATGAAGATTCCTAATATAGATAACCAAATGCCATCAGTACTGAACCTAACGATGGATACAGAAATTAAAGTTCCCAAGTACATTAAGCTAAAATACCACATGCATTTCAAATAGGTCTCACAGCCCATTTCAAACGGGCTCACACCAAATCACACTGAGCATAATCACAGGATTTAGCTTAGCTTTTCAGTCCTCCCAAGACCTCTTTCCCCCAACATACAGAAGGGGAAGGTCTTTCCAGAACTCATCGTGATATCTTTCCTCCTACACACCCAGCGATATTCCAGCCGCCTTTGCTTGTAAGGAGCTGGCTCTGTGGCCCTTTACGTCCACAGAAAACCGGCTGTAACCTACAGTGAACTAAGCCGAATGTGGCTTTTTAAATTCCTCTTCCAATTAACCTACTCGCATGTGTTTCAGTAATTATGCGGCTTTGCATACCTAACAAGAAATGCTCCGCTGTGAGAAACCAAGAGTCCATACGGCACAGTAATTTGCCTTCAGCAAGTGCGTAGGAGATGGTATTTAGGGAGAGCACAGAAACCTAGCCACTACCTGTGGTCCGTTCCACCCATGCTCCCCCAGCATCCACAGGCTTTGCATAAAAACGACAAGGGGAACATCGCTGTCTATTCCTGCTAGCACCTGTTTCAAACCTGTTGTCCATGAATTTGTCTAACCTGCTTTTGAACCCAATGATACTCTTCACCTCCACAACCTCCTACAGCAACAAATTCTACAAGTTCACTACTTGCTGTGGAAAAAAGCACATGGAAACGCATCTCCTGCTAGCTTCATCAAGTACTCCCAGATCTCCTGATGTGGAAACTGCTCTTTATTCTCCTTAGCTTCCACCTTCATCATCTGGGGAAGTATGACTTTGATCATACTCCCCTTCAGTCTTCTCTCAGTAGTCCCAGTCTTTCCAGCGTCTCTTTGTATAGCAATAGCTTTCCATCCTTGACCATTTTAGCTGCCCTTCTCTGCACC